GGCTTATGGTTCTGTGATATGCCCCTACTTCTTTATATTTAAATATGCCTCCTAAATGCCATAAGCTTTAAATCTGTCCAGGCCGGGAGTCCAGGGAATTCTTTCCTTGACTTTAATTTCCAATTAGCTGAGGCTGGATCCTCCAGAGATGGCTTCCTCCTCACCCCCGGAGGCTACATTATCATCAGCCCTTCAGCGCGGAGAAGCCTCTGAAATTGATGTAACTAATAATCACGGAGAAAGTCCTGCTACGTTTGCCATCCACGGCTGCAGAAACGGAGGCTTGATTTGAAAACCTGCAGCGACAAATGGATTATTTCGGTGGCAAATTGGTCTCTGTGGACCAACAATTTGGGGATCTGAGCGCTGGAATTGGAAACCAGCAGATCAATTCCGAACGTTTACACGCAAGGTCAATGCCCCGCAAACCGCATTGAGCGTGGTGATGAAAGATAACAGGCCTCTGCATTTTAAATGCGACTCCTTGGGAAGCAGTATTCAAAGTGCAAATGCGACGGGTCTGAGCGGGCCTACTGGAACGGAGGAGACGATCCCCGCGCACTTGAGACGAGCCTTGCAACTGAATCCCTAGACAAGTGTTGAGGATGACTGAAACCAGGAGGTTCTCACTAAAGGAGATGGCAGTAATGGCAATGAGGAGACTCCAGGGATGCTCGTGCTGGTACCTAATCCTCCAGAAGGCCGAGACACTCAGAGCAGCGGGAGCAAGCAGCTGCCCACAGCTGCAAAACCCTGCCTTTTCCTGAGATGCAGGACATGCCTGCCTGGTCACGGCCCTCCTGAGAGCTCCCCAACGCCAGGTCACGCTTCACAGCATGCGGCATTCAGGTGGATAACTTCTGAAAGGTCGGGAATATGTTTCTTCTTGGGGAGATATTCACCCTCAGACATGCTGAGAATCAAGAAAGGTTCAGAGAGCCAGCCTCACTGCAATTCAAAAGTCAGAAACATACAGATGAATACATTTTAATAGCAAATTTAATAATAAAATAGAGAAATGAGATATAAATGATGAAATGGTATAAAGGCATATCAAGCAAATGATTTAAATTTTAAAAAATGTGCATTACTCCTGAAGAAATAAACCTTGTTAACGTTTTGAGATTATTTTAAGTCAACTTGTCTAGGTCCTAGAGTCTCCCAAAGCCTCTCCCAGGTGACCAGCCTGTCTGGGAAAAGGATTTCTAATTTAAGCGCTCTTTTAAAACTTAATTTGATACTTGGTCCATTTGCAGATGAGCTACTCAGCAAGAACTGTAGTTCAAGGTTGAAGAGCATCGATTCTGACAGGCCCCCGGTTTTGATACTCTATTTCCTGCCTCCGTATCAAAACATTTACCAAATAAGGGGGTGTGTGTGTATAAAAGCATTTCTAATATATGTAACTCTAATTGATAAATGACTATTTTTATTCTATAGCTGAGCTATAGCTTGTCTAGCATCAACCCACTGAACGCACCCTTTAGTTTTTTTCCATTCTGTCTTGAATTTTCTAAAAATGGATCACACCTCGTGACATCCTCTGGCTTAATCATTTCCTTTGCTTCCTCTTCTCTTACCCAAACTTGGTCAAGTGAATGCAAACGCAACGCTATACCATATCATCATTAAGCGGCTGAAGGCCTACTGGAAGAGAGTAACTTCTGTTCAATCACATGGCAAAACTTTCTAGCAGCTGAAGAAAGAGCCCACGAGGGAGTCGCTGTCCGGGCACTGATTTGAGAAAACATTGGTCCAGACTGGGAAGACAATCCTTCCGAAGGCAAAACAGGAGCTTGCTGGAGAATTTATAATGGCCACGTTATCCAAGTCAGGCACTATCCCTTACTGGTACCCTGGTACCCTCACTGGTGAAGAAAGCTTTTTTTTTTTTTTACCATTGTTAGAAGTATCCCTCCCCAAATGCCTCCAACATCTTAATAGCATCAGGAAACTCAGACTGATAGTAAGACTGCAGCGAACACAATGCGCATGGCTTGATGGCTCTTTAAGACTTCTGTGACTGGCAAAGTATGGCGTGACTTTAGTGTTTCTGACGGCGTGGAAGTGTGACTGATTTCCTAGGCATTGTTGGAAGAAGGATTATAGTCTGCCAATATAGTCACGCACATCTTTTGAACTAAACTCTGGGCTTCTAAAAAAAGAAATGTGAGGAGCGAATTGGAAATATTTGGTGCTCGGGTTCTCCCCCCACCCCCTTCTTAGAAAATTAATTGGATTTAGGCTTGGTTTTTTAATGCCACGATCTGGCCTGTCTGCTAGGTGCATGGTATACTCTCACTCAGCTCATTTTTACCCGTGTTCAAAGTCTAGTTAAAATCCTGTGAATGAAGTTTAAACACCCACCGGAAGGTGGATCCCCACTCGGAGCTCTCTAATCACTAGGGTCAGGTGTGAGATGCATCCTCCGACTGCCAGCTCAGCAGACTTTCCATCCTTTCCCCCCTTGAAACCATTTAATACCCTTCTGGGCAGTAGTATGTGGTTGGTAGCACGGTTCCCATCTGACGGGGATACGGGCTTGGCTGCCAGCAGTGAGGCCTTTCTGCCAAACCCATTTGGTCTGGATCAGTCGCAAAAACCCAGCCGAGCTAGCAAGGCCAGCCAGGGAGAGCGAGGTGGGTCTCTGTCCCCTTTCTGTGGGCCTGTTGACATCTGGGAGATGATTTCTAGATTAGGTCCCCTGTCCCGGAGGCTCAGAGAGGACACAGTGACAGCTCTAACCCTAACTCTAGGCTACGATTCATCAGACTTGGTTGCAGCAGCTTAGCTCAAATATCCAGCGCCCCGAGCTGAAGGCCAGAGGCTCAAAGAAACTTGGGTGGAAGGAGATTTCCCGCTTACCAGCACAAAACATTTCGGCTGTGAATCTTAAGTGGCTTTTGTTTTGAACTTTTGCAAAAGCTGAAAGCAAAAGGAAACATTTATACTTGACCCAACAGGAAGGAGGGGTTTTTTTCAGATTTTTCCTTCACGGAGAACCAATGTTTTGGTCTCTTTTCCATTTAGGATCGAAGCCCTGCCTCAAAGTCTTAGCATCCTTAATGAGACGGAAATCTCCGTCTTCCTCCTCCGTCGGAGGTTTTCAAGGAGAGGTGGGATAAACAGCACGGGAAGGATTTAGGAGCAGCCGGCCTGCCATGGGTTGGATGAAGAAGATGCCTTCCTGCTGCAGGATACACACGGCTCTGCCCCGGAGAGGTGAAGCAGGTGTAAATCTCTTGCTCGCTGCAGCTTCCATCTAAAACATTGCACCTTTCACATCAGGATCTCAAAGCACTTAGGAGCATTCATGAATTGAGCTTCACCCGAGCCCTGCGACGTGATCATTGGCAAGCAGCTGTAATACTATCGTGGGACGCACGCGTTAGTGTTTGAAGGTCCACAGGGATCCGAAAGACTCCCAAAGTCCATGTCATTCTCCCTCGCTGGTCTAGTCTGATGGGATGCTTCAACTTCTCACTTGTGTTGGTCCAGCATTATAGTTTGGCCTGAAATGCTGGAAGTTGAGTCCTCAGCGCATCCTTTTCAGATAGGAATTGCCCTGCTAGTCTCATTATCCCTTAAAAAAGCAATTAAGCGATTATGAGAGAGAAGCAGCACTGGAAGCCAAGCACAGTAGATGAGAGGGGAAGGTTGAGCACTGTTCAGCTGGCAGTCTTTGAAATGGGGCTGTCTCAAGGTGATTTACTTTTTAGATGTGCGGATACAGGGCATAATTCAGGGCCTTGCAGATGCTGTGTTGCTTCTTTAGGAAGGGTCGATTTGGCAGCATCCGAGGAGGAGTCTAGGCTTCATTAGGAGCATGCAAATCCCCTTTCGGCATGCCACGAGTCCTTGGGACCTCCCCTGCAGTGCATCAGCGTGGGATGTGTTTCCACCGCATCCAAGAGCATGGGCTCACGGGTCGAAGCAAAACCCCCTGGGCTTGCTGCTCTCAATGCTGGTAGCGTGCATGGGCTTTGCATGGGACCGTTACAGCCAAGAAAGGAGAGGTTGGTGGAAGCTCGCGCGTCCCTCAACGATGAAAAATAGAACAACTCTTTCCACACCGTGACGTGCAAGAAAATGACCCAGATGATTTCTTTGCGCTGTGAAAAGGATTTCTTTCCAGCAGAGCGGCTGGAAGAGCTGAGCGCACTGCACCCGAGTTGGCAAAGCTGCAAAAGAAACTCTTCCAGGGGAACTGGCAAGGGAGCCGACAAGCCTCCGTTGCAGTGGAAAGCGATGAGCTCGAGCCGCCTGTGTTTGTTTCTTGGTTGCTGAGGGCCGGGGAGGTTGGAGCAGCTCTTGGAGAGAGGATTTTGTAGTGGCTTTGACTTTGGGAAAATCTTAGTCCTAAGGGAAACTGTTGGGAAAGGAACAGCCGTGACCTCCTCTTCCCTGGACCTCCCGCTCGTCCATCTCGGGAAGGAGCTTTCCCAGAAACACAAATATCCCGAAAAGGACAACTTTTGACCCGCCTGCTCTTTCCCGTGTTGCACTTGGTGCCCACCAGCCCCTGAGAGGCGATTTCTTCCTTGTCCTTGAAAGAGGGCTCACTGCGGGATCCTGATGGCCCCGGGTGCCATCCAGCCTGGGGCACTGGGGGCTGCCCTCCCTTGGCAGGAGGCTGGGAGTGCCCCCCTCCCTGTGACGTCATAGTCGGGGCAGGTGACATCACCCTGCAGAGGAGCGGGTGGCATCCAGAGCAGGCTGCAAGCACTGCCCAGCGGGTGCTTCCTGAGCCCAGGGTGCAGCTCCCTGCCAGGCAGGAGCAGAAAGCAGAGAGGCAGATCAGGAAGAGAAAGGGGATGGGAGGGCATGGGGGCTAATCGTGCCATGCCTGCCAACCACGTTAACCCCCGCTGGTGTAGAGAAACCCCAAGTCCAGCTTTTTTGGGGGGGGGGTCCCATGTCACCGCCTGCAAGGCTGTTTCTGCGGTCACAAATTCCTGGCAATGCGCTGCTGTCATTAGGCAACTTTTTAAATGAGGGGGGCAGTGACTTAGATCCAAGGGGCGTGCGCTCTGAGCCACGCTGCCAGCACAAGCAGCCACGCTCGGCCTTTCCAGGATCTGGCCAGCAACCTGCCGCCGGCAAGGCACAGCTGAACTGCAGGGACCCATCAGCATCCACCGGAGAGGGGATCCTCCTGCAGCAGCTGGACAAGGTAAGAGCTGCTCCTTCTTGGAAGTCAGTTTAATGCAAACATGCAGAGAACAATACAGAGCCGAGGCGCGTGGCCGGCGCTAGGGCAGTAGACGCAGCCCCTTCCCAAACCCAGAATAATGCAGGCAGACAGTGACGGAAGCACCTGTGATTTTCAAAAGGAAGCTCCACCAGTAACAATCCCTGGCTGCTTTGGAGGGCATTCAATTAACGGAAGATTTTTTTTAATTTTTTTTTTTTAATTAACGGAAGAAAAGGACAATGAGAATCCCGCCGTGGAGCTGAGCTGTTAAAACCTCCGCCTGGCTCTTGTGCCTCCGTGGCTCAGACAGGAGCTGGCCGGGTCACAGCTAGGGTTGCCAGCCCTTCCGGGCTATCTCCCCGTGACTACTGAAAGCAATCTGGGAGATAGGATATTTTAAGGAAAGGACATTACATCTCGCTGGGGGGAAAAAAATCTGCAATAGCTTCAGTCAGTTGGCAACTAGTCACGGCAGGGCAGGGTCGGACTCGCGTGCAGCCACTTAGAGGAGCCGAGAGCGCAGAGCTGCGAGGAGACGTGTCCAGTTTGCTTGCTCCAGGTGGGAGATGGGACCCGGCCGCCCTCCTGTGCGAGAGGGGCCAGTGTCCAGCAGGACGGGGGTAAAAGCACAAGTTAAAACATCTCTGCCTTCCTGCTGCAGCAGTCAACGAGGCCACCAGCACCCCAAAGGGGCTTCTCTGCAGGGCCATGCTCACACGTTGCCTGCTACATTGAGGTCCCAATCCCAGCCCCACTCACTGCCCAGTCCAGCGGGGATCAGAGCCTCTCCTCCTCCTGGATCAGCTTGCTCAGTGTCTCCGCGATGATGCTGAGGTCCTTGCTCGCGTCCAGCTCGAAGCCGGCAGATGGGGTGGAGGCTGACCCAGTCAGGCAGCCCCTTGGAGAAGAGGCGCGGGTGCTTCTCCATCTCACCTGCAGGGAACCGGGACTGATGGAAGGTGAGCCTGCAGCCAGGGGAGAGGTGGAGCTGGAGCCCCTCCGGCCCTGAACTGGGGCTCCAGCTCGGAAGCTCGACAGCGGCCCATCGCTGCCGATGCTGCGTGCGTTGCAAGGGGCAGAAAAACCACAGAGCCAAGCCAGGGAAGTGGGCCATGCCAAGCCCAGAGGCTGATCCTTAGGAATTGATCTGCAATGCAGAGAGGCACGTCCCTGGCTTTAGGGGCGAAAGCCTTCTGGGGTCAGACTCCCTCAACTCGATAAAGCAGCAGCAGGGGCAGGGCTGCTGGAGCCAGGATCATCGCAGCATCGCGTTCACCAGGTCCTTCGCCTTCTTGTCGAGGGTCTGGGCTGGAAACCTGCAAGTGTTCGGCATTGGGCATCACTGCCTTGCTGCGAGGTGCTAACTAACATCAAGAGCTAGACGGTGTGTTCTCTGGGCAGCTAGCAGACGCCACACAGGCGAGGGAGGCGGTGGTCATGGGAGATCTGAACTACCCAGATATCTGCTGGGAGGCAGACAGCCAAAATAAGCCACTCATGGAGCACTGTGTGCAGGACCTCCACCTAACCCAGGTGGTGTCCAGTCCCCCCAGGGGTAGCGCCATGCTTGACCTGGTCTTAGCAACAGGGGATGATCCCGTGGGGAACATGCGAGTTCACGGTAGCCTGGGAGATAGTGACCATCACTTGGGCGAGTGCACTATCCAGCGAAGGGTGGGTAAAGTAACTAGTGGGGCTACGGTGTTTGTCTTCAGGAGGGCCAACTTTAGCAAGCTTAGAAGGCTAGTTAGTGACGGGATGCAGCTCCCCATGCACGCCTATGCCAGCCAATTCCCCAACCTCGATCATTGCCGGATGTCCACAGGGCACCAGTCCACCTACGGCTAGTTCGGAAATAGTGAAGGAGCTCCTGCAGGAGCTGGATGGGTACAAGTGAGCAGGCCCGGATGACCTCCATCCACGGCTGCTGAAAGAATTGGCCGGTGTCATAGCGGAGCCGCTGGCACGGCTGTTCGAGCACTCGTGGTGCTCCGGCCAGGTCCCTGAGGACTGGAGAAGGGCCAATGTGGTGCCCATATTCAAGGAAGGGAGAAGGGATGAGCCGGGTAACTTTAGACCAGTCAGTCTTACCCCTATCCCTGGGAAAATGCTAGAGAAAATAATCAAAGAGCACATTTGTGCAGGCCCAGCGGGGGAAACGATGCTGAGGGGAAACCAGCATAGGTTTGTCACGGGTAGATCCTGCCTGACAAACCTTGTAGCCTTCTATGACACTGCCTGGATGCGGGAGCCGAGGCTGATGTCATCTTCCTGGACTTCAGGAAGGCCTTCGATGCAGTCTTGCACCCTATCCTCGTTGGGAAGCTAGCAGACTGCGGAGTGGATGCCGACACGGTCAGGTGTGTGGCCAGCTGGCTTAGGGACCGCACCAGAGAGTGGTGGTGGATGGGTCCTTCTCGGCCTGGAGGGAGGTGGGCAGTGGGGTCCCGCAGGGGTTGGTCCTCTGACCGATATTATTCAATATCTTCATCAGCGATTTGGACGAGGGCGTGGAGAGCACCCTCTCCAAGTTCGCTGATGATACCAAGTTATGGGGCAAAGTTAGTACACCGGAGGGCAGGGAGCAGATTCAG